GTCGGCCACGCGCAATGGGGGGCATGGGGGAGGGGGGGAGGCTTCTTATAGCAGCGCCCCTGCTTCTCAGGAGGCGCGGGCCTCATCAGCAGATGCAAGGCCGGCGCCTTCTAAGAAGCAGCCTCTTTCTAAGAAGCCTTCCCCCTCCCCCGACAATGAGGCTCGGGGGAAGGAAGAAACGGCAGGCTCGAGTCGTGTCGACGCGGCGGCGGGCTCAGGTGCAGCGTGGGGGGGATAAACTCAAACAAGGCGCCTCGACTCCCAATCGCCCACTGATCGGCGATGCACTGCCGATTCTGGATCGATGTCTTCCCCCCTTAGCCAGTCCCCTCCAGAACGTTCTCCCTCACGACCCCCAACGCGGACGTTCAGGTTTGAACGCCGCCAGCGGCCCGAGATCGGCCGACACCAGGCGATATGTTCGATCGGGGAGCTGCGATCGCGCAGGGTGGAACGACCCACGCGGCGTCAGGGACCAGCACCGAAGTCGTCACGACATAAAAACCTGCCCTACACTCAGGAGGGGAAAAACCACACACAGACACAAATAATCGGCGATCCCCAGAAAATATGAGAAAATATGAGCAGTGGTATGGGCAGTGGGGGTGAAGACAGAAACCCAGAAAATATGGGAAAATATGGGGAATATCTTTATTTGTGTGTATTTATTTGTGTCCCCCAGTTCCCCTTCATACACGGGCGGCGGCTGAACTGCGATGTCCACCACGCGGGGGATGCCCGGGTCGGCGGTCTGGGGATCGCGCCGATCGCGGCCAGACGTGAGGGCCCGTCGGCGCCTGAAGCCCTCGAGTTTCCCATGTTCGCTCCTCCGAAGAGCGCGGGCGTCGAGCATGAATTCCCAAGAGATAACAAGATTTTTGGGTTCAGGGTTTCCGAACCCGCCAGATGGGGTCCGAGTAGATGGGGTCGAAGAATCGCGCCGCATCGCCGATGCATCGGCGATGCGCCTGGATGTGGATCCCGATGTTCTCCACGCCGACGTCGCCAAATTATGCATCGCCGATGCATCGGCGATGCGGCGCGATGTCCCGACCCCACCTACTCCAACCCCATCTGGGCATCTGGGAGGCCTCCAATAACGGGCGCATGCACACTGTTTGGCGTCGCGGCCACGCGCAGAACAACGCGGCGGAGCCAGGCTAGCGGACAAAAGCGGAAGTGGGCGCGCGGGCGGGCCCAGCTCGCAGCAGCAGGGGCGTGTTGGGTTCACCCACAGGGAGCCCCGCAAAACGACTCGCGGGGGGGAACCCGCGAAGGGGGACGAGGGGGTCCGACGGAGGGGGGAAGCGAGCGGGATAGGGGAAGCGTATGGGTGAGTGGCAAGCAGCGTGGTGGTGGTGCTCGAGCACACTTGGTCGGCATTGGCTGACTCACACAGGGTAAGCAAGTACAGCGCACTGGCACTGTTGATTGGCGACCCCCACGCACATACACATGTAGAGTGCCTCCTTTTCTGTAAAGATACACGTACACACAAGCAAACAACACGTGTTACATACAAACCAACACACACACACGCACACGCATGAACATACATGTCCGCATGCACATAATCAATTGTACGCATACATACATACATGCATACATACGTACATACAAACATACATACATACATGAATGTAAATCCATTTTGGTTCAAGTAAACCATTTCCTCGCTGTGGACCCGTGACTGATTGTACTGGCGTGCGCAACCAGCCCCATCTGAAAGTTGCGCACGTCTGCATTATGCGCCTGCTGTGCCACACCCTTCACTCTCTGATTATGTTTTCAGTATTTCCGTGAGCGGCACGGCCCCAAGCGTAAAGACGTCGACGTGTGATTCATGCCCGATGCCGCCATGGATGGTTAGTGTTTTTCGTATGTATAGTGGTATGCGTCTTATACGTGTTCTTAGTGCGCTTGTAGGTATTATTCCTCGTAGTGTCAGCATGACTGTTGTTCGAATTACTAGTGTCATTACTGTTCGTATTGTTGTTATTGCTTTTCTTGTTTGTGATTACCAGTCTCATCAGTACTGGTTGCATTGTTGTGATTGTTATTATGAGTACTGGCATTCGTGTTTGTCGTCTTCTTCGCATTCGTTGTATTAGTATTAGTGTTCGTGTCATTATTATGTGTTTGTTTATTATTCCGTGTATGATGTTTCGTTTTCTTTTTGCTCTTTTCTTCTCGCCGGCGTGGCAATGGTCGTCGCAAAGATTGTCACAGCCACAAGGAAAATACGGCCGACAAGCCCTCGGCTGGCGCGCGTCCGACGTCGGTGTCCAGCGGCGCGGGTAGCTCCGACGACGACGGACGGCATCGTCGCACCCGCAGCGTCGAGAAAGCGAGGCGCGCTCCGCGCACACCAGTCTCGGGCATGGCCACTCCTCCTGCTGATGGTGATCCTCTACAAGGGCCTAATGGTTCCATTGAGGCAGTCCAGTGGCGTTGCTTCTGATGCGCCATTCCATCGATCCGACCCCGACGCCATCCTGAGGGTGCTCAAATCCGGAATCACGAGCGCTGCCGACGCACCAATCAAGGCCATGGCTGGCAACAGCATTGAGAACACCGCCAAGGCAGTCCGCGCGTTGGCTCCCCAGCAGGAGAACATCAACGAGGAGATCGACCTTCGTCTCGGCGAACTTGACAGAGGGCAAGCCATCACTGAGAAAGAACATGTTATCATCCGTGAGCAGATGGCATCGATGCAGAAGACGGTCCTCCAGCGCGAGCATCAGGCCCCCGAAGTTGACGCGTCGGACGCGGCAAACTTCGCGCGGGAGATCAAGCGCGCAATTTTCCTGGCAAGCACGAAGGAGCCCATCTCCTTGGAAGCGCCTTTGGCCTCCGTCCAAACTTGGCCTGTCGACGCTGGCTTCGAACACGACAAGCATGAAACCGCAGGTTCGCCATTGCTTTCAAGGACTCCGACGGCCTCGCCACCGAGCGCGCCATCAGCGCGCCGAAGACCCTCAAGCAGAACGGCAAATCGAGACGTTTGTCGGTTTCTACTCTCGCCAACGGGCGGACCGACGCGCGCATTAGCTTGGGCTAGAATTCCAGCGGGTGCCGCGCAAGATTCAAGCGACGAGGCTGGTCGAGCTTGCCCAAGGCACCGCAGCGCCCGGCAAATGGGGGGCCAACTGCGCCCAAGGAGTCACCCGCAGGGGCCCCGCACCTGCCGCGCGCGCCCTGATCCCCGAGGCCCCGTCCAGACCGACGACGCCGGAGTGGGATTGCGGGTTGGTTGCTGGCATTGGCCTTGACAAGAGCGCGGTCGAGGAGGCCTTCAACGAACTATACAGCGGGAGCGATAGAGCATCGTAGTCTAGCGAGCGAGCGGCTGGCGCCGCGGCGCCCAACCTCGGGCGAGGGCACCCCAACGGCGTTCGGTATTTGGAATGCTCGAGCTCTTCTGCATCACGACGTTGCCGCGGGAGGAACTCGAGAACACAAGTTTGAGCACCCAGGGAGAGAATTGCGCCGCGGCGCGACCATGGCTCTGCAAGGGGTTCACGCCACACACACGCACACACACACACACACACACAGAACTGCAGAATGCTCTCCTTCGGCTGCACGTGCACCATCGGGCTTTCGATTCGTTCGGGGCGCAGGTCACGCGGCAACCATCGCCCCGCGCGGTCAAGGGGTGGACCGACGAGCAGGTTTTGCGAATGAGGTCCCCCCCCCCCCTGGTCGCGCACGGCGTCTCCGAATCTCTGGCCCGGCGAACGCGGCTAGGCCCCTCCGCCACTGCCAGTGTCACCGCGCACAGCATGGCCATCTATAACGCGCATAGCATTGCCATCGCAGATGCGGGACGGGAGAGGTGCTTATCCAAGGTACGCAAACTTGGCCCTCGCGGAGATGGCCTCTAGCACGGTGGCGGTTTTGCTTCTCGGTGACCAAAGTTTGCAGGCAGTTGCCCATGCACCCCCGAGCTCCTGACATTGATCGTCGACGCGGCGCGGATGCGGCCGATGGCCGCCCTGGACCTCATGAGCCCGATTGGAAGCACGACGCGCTAGGCATCCAGCGAGTGGCAGCCCAAGCCACCGCAGATCGATCGCACCCCCACGTCGACACCGAGCTGGCAGGCCCTGCAGCACCACGTCACGGCCACCACGCCTGACTTGCCAGCAGACGTTCATGAGGGCGGCGTCAGTGACCACGCCCGGGCGGCGGCGACGGAACGCGAGTGGATGCGCTGCCCCCCAAGCAGCGCACCACCTTCCTCTTCGTCTGCAAGGACCCGCAGTCCCAGGCCCAGCACGCGAAGCTCTAGGCCGTCATGAACCTCACCCACATGACACCTCTCCAGCGGCTAGCCAGGCACAAGCGCCTCATGGAGGAGGCAGCGCCATGTGCGCGAAACCGACTGCCACGTGCACCGCGCGGTTAGACTCGCTCATGGTATTTCGCCCGACTGCTCAGGCGGTCTGGCGCGATGGCACTGTCCCCGCGTGGAGATTGCCCAACGCCCCACCGCTGACGGCCCCTGGGCTAATCTGCTGCACCCGCCGAGTTTCGCCGGGAACTTCGCCTCGGAGCAGCAGCTCCATTTCGAGGCCCTCGCGTCGGCCCTCGAGGAGCACGAGCCCTTGGGCCGCAGCTCCTTCAAGGCGATCCACCCGACGTGGCGCCAGCTGCGGAGACAGGCCGCACTATGGACGCCGTTCTCGAGACCGCTGAAGCTTCAGGGGATTCGGATCCCAGGCGAGCAGGACTTAAAGGCCGTCGACTCGCAGTCGGAGATGATCGAGGCGCCGCGCGACCACTGGGGCCCCATCTTCCACGGCAAGCCGAAGGTCGCGCACCAGAACATGCTAGCGTCTCGCAACATGGAGGAGCACGCGCCCACGCTCGAGGCTGCGAATATGATGCCTCCTGGTGCTGGTCAGCTCCACGGCCTGCCAGACGCGCTCGAGCTCCCGCGCGCGGTCTCGATGGCCTGCCCGACCTGGCCCGGTGCCCCTGCCCAGTTGCCATCG